TTCTATTCGTGGCCCGAAATGTGCCACTAGGTATTTGCACGTCAACTAATCCCCACCCTTACTCGATACACATCATATTGGCAAAACGCCTTACCTATTCCACGAGAGCGCTTCTGGTTTCCCGCCCAGAAAAGCGTTTCGCAGGAGAAGGAGCGATGGTACAGCCTACCCAGACACATGCGCATACTCATTGAGCCTCCTCTGCACCCCCATGGTCGTGTTTTCTTCTAGGTCACGACTGTGATATCGAGACGTGCTCTCGCAGGCACCGAACAAGCCGAAGATCCGACGTTTTTCCCCAACGGTGGCACTTACCACGAACCGATTGCGGTATCCTTGGTGTCCGACGACAGCGCCGTTGTGTACTACACAACCGATGGAACGGTGCCCGACGGGACCTCGACGTTTGTGAGTTCCAGCGAGCTCATCGTTCTAGAAGAATCAGTTACGATCCGAGCCATAGCGGCCTTTCTGGGAGAAGATTTCGATGCTCATTCGTCGGCAGAAGTGGAAGCGAGCTTCGTCGTGTACGTCGCAGGTAGGCAGAACGCTTTCGTGTCAATGACCCAGCCGGGGATAAGATGGTGGTCGGCGTGCCTGGGCGGTAGAACGAACGACACAGCATACGTATTGCTGACGAAACAGACTTTTTTCAGTCATGTGTGTCTAGAAGAGTATCGCAGACACGGTCATCAGGCTCCCACTTGAACAGGAGGTTCCGATAACGCCGAATGGCCCACCTTTGCTATTCCATGAGCAGTCTAGCATGCCACTACAGCAGAAAATAGCTTGTTCAGATCATGAAGGCGAAAGGGGTGCGCTTTGGGGCAAACGGTTGGCAAAGCGTAGCAGAAGGGAGATGCGCCTTCGAGAATGCACCCTTTCCAAAATCGACCGAGCATCACACCTGCCCTCCTCCGCCACCAAGGACGGTCGGGGTACCCTACTGCTGAAGGGAATCGGCTCTTCCCACCTACACCTCTGTGCGATCCACTACCACCGCCCCAAAAGGGACTAAGAATACCTTTCTCGCCCGATCCCAGGCAAGTGCGGGCACGCCTACTTCGTACCGCATTTCACGAGCTCCGGTTACTCCGGGAACGTAGTGGAAGTTGAGCTCGAGACCGACAGACTGGGAAGCGTTCGTCTCCACGGGGTGGTGACGGACTTCGCCGACTTTTACTCTGATGGCGGAGTTGGGCCTTACACCGGACAGGTGAAAGGTGGCGCCATGCACTTGGGATCGCGGTTGGCGTCGCGCCACAGTTGGTGGAGATCGGTTCATAGACAACCGATGCTGTCCTTCGCATGTATGCGGGGCCTAGGGCGAGTCAGGCGATTCAATTTTCGTACTTGGTGCAGGGATTACCACGCACTTCACCATTTTCCAACACGACATATCTACATTATTTTCCCTATTTTCTCATTTAGAAGAGGTTCCACTTCTCAACCCTCCATCTCACCAGCGACGTCTTGTTATTCTTTCCCCACACACACTTACAACCAAGGCCTTGCCAAAACCTTGCGCAAGAACACAACCTGGTCGTTCTTCGTCGCCCGCTGCTTCGTTTGTCTCCTCTCCACCGATGCATATAGGTGGTAAGCAGCGACCTTACGGCCGAAGGGGATAGCGGGCTGGCCGGTTACTGGGGGGGCTTCAGCGGGGACGTGGACGGAGAAACTTATGGGTTTCTCAGCCCCCTCTTCGACGGGGACGATTTCCACGGCAAGGCTGTACAGGTACAGTCGACCCCGCTTTAAGCAAACCAAAATTAAGGAAACTCCCCGGGCAAAGGAAACAATTTTTTGGAGAAACACAACACCCCGCAGAATGTAAAATATACGGGGGGTCCATATTCTAGTCCGCGGACCCCCTTAAAGCACGTTTTCAGTGTACCCTCTTCGCCAGCAGAGAGGTCTGCTGCTTCACCTGCTGTCTGCGGGATGCAAAGATTCGTTTCACCTACCGGTGCGTCCTCTTCACCTGAATTAAAACGGTGTGGGGANCGCAGAATGTAAAATATACGGGGGGTCCATATTCTAGTCCGCGGACCCCCTTAAAGCACGTTTTCAGTGTACCCTCTTCGCCAGCAGAGAGGTCTGCTGCTTCACCTGCTGTCTGCGGGATGCAAAGATTCGTTTCACCTACCGGTGCGTCCTCTTCACCTGAATTAAAACGGTGTGGGGAACCCACGTGCACGATCACGACGCTCGTGTCGGGTATCCACACATGCCCGTGCGGTCGATGGATGCACGCGTTTTGTGGTCGCGCATCGGGAAGGAAGGCTACGGACAGCAGAGGGAGTGCACGGAATGTCAGAAGTCGTAGCGTTGAGTGCTTGCGGTTTGTCGGCCATACGCCGTATTGTGTGCTTGTGTCTGAATGGCGCTCCAGTAGAGAGTAACGCAGGAGAGTTTCTGCGTGCGCTCCCCCAGGGGTAAACAAGAGTCACCAGATGAATTTGAAGTGTCCATCAGGTATTTTCCGTGCTGTGTGGTGGAGTTCAGCAATAAACAATTATTTTCTCGCCGACTCCCAGCCTCTTTTGTTATTCCAATGCCCTGCCCAGGGCGCACCTTTTGACGCATGTACCGCCACCATTGACCCCGGGGATGGTGCGTTCTGATCGCCTGAAGTTTAAGGAAACTTCCCCTCGTTAAGGAAACATTTTTCGGAGCAAAACGATATGTTTCCTTAAAGCGGGGTCGACTGTATATGCAGCAGGCTTTGGCTTCATTAAGAGAGCGTGCCGCGCGGGAGGCTTGAGGCTGCCTCGGGGAAACTATGTCCTTGAGTTATCGGCCTCGGCCTCTCGCGCATTACACCGGCGTAGGGCGGTCGTGATGTTTTCTCGGGTTTTCGCATGTACCTGCTCAGAACCAAGTCATCGGCGACGAGCGCAGTGGCGGGTTTGTACGGCCATATATAGCAAGGGGCAGGGTACCAAGATAGCTCCCCCGCCGGAAATAAAGCATGCTTATGAAGTAAAGCATCGGTCTCCCTCTAGCAATACCCCGTCGTGTGAAAACGAACTAAGCACACCCTACTGATCACCCTCGGCTGCATTGGCCGATCAGATTCGCCTCGACAGCTTCGGAGGGACAAACGTTACGCGTTTCTGTGGCTCGTTGGAAGGAGCTCTAGAGTCCAACGCCACCTGCACGTACAATGTGGTTGATCTGGAAGACGTGAGTGTTTACGGTGATTTTTTCTCCCCAACCCATGGCCAAAATTATACCAATCCAAACCGCCCGTCGCCTCTATCGGCGCTCGTGCTCATGTTCGTAATGCCGGTCTTGGAACCCAATGTCCACCATCAAGTGGAACTGCCCTCAAGTACTTGGCAATGCGGATATAAATCTCCACGGGTTGCTTTCGTCGAGCAACACGTGCTTCGGTCTATTCGAGACTTGCCCGCGTCAACATGTTATGAGCTCAGAGCCTCCAGGCGAAATACGAGGACTTCTCCTTCCTTCCCGTTTTACCTCGTTTGTTGAGATCATGCATGGTGAAATATAAGCGGCACTACTCGTCTTCTTCAAGGATACCCTGCGGTTTGCGGTGTTTGTACTTTCATCCCGCCTTTTTGCCATATGTGCTCATTGAGCGCATTATGACTACCGTTCTGCCGTCTTGAAAGGTTGATCCTGACCTGCGAGGGTTCAGCGGAGGTTTCCTGCACGCTTCAAAGGCGTACTTTGTCCCTTCTTACAACGGCCGGGGAGCGGGGGCGAAATTTGTGCGGGTTGATGCCAGCAACTTCTCGAGCAACAGCGTCGAGGTAGATCTTTCGGTTTCCGCTAGGCTCGTTGTTCTGACTACAGTACTGGTAGCGATACCGCAACATGCATGGATGCAACTGCAAAACCCTGTTCAGGAAACAACAAACACACACACGAACAATCGTGGTGTCCTAGGAAGCCTCTTCTGTGTGTTTGTTCTCGATATTCGCAAAGGGTAGTGATATGTCCGTTGGCGAGTGGTGCTTGATTTGGCTCTCTTGCGAGCTCTTTGTCGTTGGGCGTGCGATTCGATTACCTTCAGAATTCGTTCACCAGATTCTTCCTCCTTGTTTATCTCGTTCGTCAGTGGTCGGGCAGTACAAGTGTTACTGCTACGTTCACACGCTAGATTTTGATGCGTCTGTTCTTCACCCATGCGTGGGGCTGTCCCCTGGCCTCAAATGTATCAAATGCATTACTATGTGTGCCTCAACGGACACCACTTTGGCCTTCTTTTCTTATGCCCTTGTATTGGTGCCCGTCGTTCATCCCACCCTTGTCCATGCTGAAAACAGGTGCTCGACCTCCACACGGTGGACCCCGAGGTGGGGGGTTTCTTCGGGGGCTTCGCGTGGGAAGGGTACGGGTACCTCGTCCCGTGCAGATCGTTCCAGGTACACGACAATAGAAACGGCTTGCCTATCTCTACAGGCGGAGAAAATTGTCCGAGACTCCGAAAAAAAAAACCGCATGTATCCAGAGTGTCACGCGGCGCTCGCCAAACAACAAGACAAGCAATGCTCCGCCCTCATGACCCCCCCCCTCCCACACGTGGTCACTGCTGTACCAACCGAAGGGGCCCGTCGGCGGAGTGAACACGAACCTTAGTGCAGACGGTTTCGCGTGGTCCTCGTCGTTTCTCGGATCCGACTCGACCGGGGGGAGTGGTCAAAAGGCAGGCAGGCTGCAGCCGGCCTACTCGGGCAAGCTGGTTCGGGTGGATCTGTCCGACTTTTCGTCTTCGGGGGTGCAGGTCCGTTGACCACTAAAGGGCAAGAAAACGGCTTCTTTCTGTAAGACTCTGGTTCTGGTTTGCCTTTGCTACCGTTCATTCGTCGGTTCGTGTGCCAGTTGTCCTGAAAGTTATAGACAATGGAACTGTTATTACGTGCGTATCCATGTGTGCGTGCTTTGTTTTTTACGCGGGGGATCCCGGCTTCTGCCCGTCTTAGACCAGTTAATGTTAAGGAGGACCCGATTCGCAGGGTATCCGTCGATTGACTTTTTCCTGGATCGGTACACCTTCGCATATGGCGTCAGCCGGATACTGGTTCGAATCTCCTTGGGTGCACACTTTTTCTCCTGACTTGGATATTTTCCCGAGGACACAATGTGTGTCAGTCCTGAGAACACCTCTTGGAGTCGATCCTACAAAGAACCTTGTGACACTTCCATCGAATTACCCATCCTGGCCACAAGAGGTTCCCGGTTGAGGGTACATTCTGTGGGTGGAGAGTGCTAAGGAGGACCCGATTCGCAGGGTATCCGTCGATTGACTTTTACCTGAATCGGTACACCTTCGCATAAACCTGTTTTGAAGAATTGGCGACTCCTCCTCCGCAGCGGCGCTCCAAATGACTGGTATCCCCGCCGCCTTCACCTGGAATAGATCCAAACACTGCGAGTAGAAGAGTGCTCGGACAGGTCGTCGATGATAGTCTAGGCAAGCACAGTTGTGTTTCGCAAGCTCTCTCAAGTGACAGAAACTATACCAGAAGTTGCTCTATTTCCCGACCCTTCTTATTTATTCCCATAACTCGATCCACATTCCCACTCCCACTAAAAATATGATCCTCTTGTGGTACTTTGTTCACGCCGTGAAGGTGTTGGACCTGACCGAGGTCGACCCTGATCTTCGGGGATTTACGGGCGGCTTCGCCGCGGGGCACTGGGGTTTCTTGGTGCCGTTCAAGAACAAGGAGGCAGACGGGGAGTTCTCGGGCAAGATGGTCCGCTTCGACCTGCGCACCTTCGACCACGCCGGCGTAACGGTAACTGAGCCTCGGGAGCAAGAGGTGTTGTTTCTTGTTGCTGTGCTCTTTGTGTGCTGCTGACACATGTCTTCCACACGACAAGCGAGGAACTGGTTTGGTGTACACAGCTCCGGAGCTCCCAGAGATAAATGCGATCCAAGCGCGTAGCCTTCGCTGCTCAGCTGCACATTGCATTGCTCCTGAGCCCTCCGAGCGCGTGTGTTGGACAATATACTCGTTTGTGCTCAGTAGATGACGGCCTCTTTCTCTCTGTGTCGCGATTTAATTCCGAATATATCTGACTTCTCATAATCGATTTGCCCCCATTTTCGGTGCTTAGCGGTTTGCTAGCGGTGCCCTTATTGTTTGTGTGTCTGATTGGTATCTGTTTGCGTTGTCCCCGGCGAGCCCATTTTCAATTTTCCGAAGATCTCTACGACAACATGTAGATTGAATGGAATAACCCGGACCATTCGCGTGTACTGCTACCGTGAATGTTAGCACCGCGTTGTGGCTGAACGCTCGTGCGCCCTACAACAATTTCCATCTCCTCCGTCCAACTCCGTCTCTGTCTCCTTGTCTCTGTCTCTGTCTCTCTGCGTCCCTCTCCCCCTCCCTCTCTCCCTCTCCTTCTCTCTCTCTCCCATGTTTTATGGTTCCCACCACACATCGCCGTCAGGTCCTGGACTTGACGCGAGTGGAGTTGTCCCTCAGGGGTTTCGTCGGAGGCTTCACGCACGGAAGGTAAACATCGTACATCGAGCGAAAAGCACACAAACGTGTGGTGTCTTCGGCCATGAATGGTGCGCAAGAGGGTTACACATGGTGAACACATGCGTGATGCGGGGGACCGGAGTTTGCTTGCCCGATCTTTACAACCAAGGAGAGCCGCGAATGCTCACTCCAGCCAATACCATTGGTTGATGAGTGCACAACTATGGTTCTGGTTGTACTGTAGCATGGCGATACCCAATACACTCTGTTTTTCGAAGCCTTGCGAATGGGTGTTGGTGGGTGCTTTCGCAGCCCACGCCCCCTCCCCCAAGGGATGCAGTTACAGGTCCGCAGCCGAGAAAAGTTGATAATGTTAATGTTCTGAGGCTCAATCTTCCACTTACTTTGCCGCCACCGTTAGGCACAGGCCACCTTGTCGAACCAAACGTACGGCCCATGTCCGAGCTGTGTTTCTCGATCGCTCCCTTCTCTTGCTTTTAGACTAACTCAGCTACTCCAGGTTTGACAGTTACAGTAGTGTTCCCATGGAATACGTACGCTTTGTTTTGGCTCAGCTTCTGAGTTGGTAGTGGTGTGTTTTGCCTTGCTTGTGGGGTTTGTTTGCCCTTCTTTCTGTGCGTCGTTCTGGATTTGGTCGTTCGACAGCTATCTCTTTCTTGGCGATGTTCTGCTTAGTTTATTTTTACCGTCGTCTGGGACTGCTTGTCACCACGGGCAATACCTCATCACACTTGAGCCAGCCGAAGAGGTACTAGGTAGAATACGGTGCACCTATGGAAAGGAACGCTTGCTCAACGGTCAGCTAACAATAAGGCCCCCAACATATGAGTACCCCCCCTCTTCCCCCCCCTTCCCGTTTTGTTAAAATTGACGACAAGGTACGCGATCCTCTCGCCGTATGCCAACGGAAACACCACGGGAAACTACCGCGGCAGATCGCAGTTTAGCCAGATGGTGGCGGTGGATCTGACCGACTTTACCGTCGAAGGCGTCAGCGTCGTAGACCTTGCCGCCACCTCTAGACAGCAGGCGAGTAAGCTTAAGAGAAGAGCCAATAGCGGTGCCGTTTGGATGGTACTCGGTGTTAACCACTGCCGCGCACAAGAATAGAAAACTGTTCGTTTGGCATGCAAGTTCTCGTATCGTTTTCTCATGACCGCATCTCACACGGAGGCGCTCGGCATAGGCGGTAAATACGTTAATTTGTTGACTGAAGTGCTTGCTACGAAAGATGCAACCTCCCGTGTTCGACCACGTGTGATTGGTTTACCATGGCCAATGCGTGATGCAACACAGAGAAAGATGCTCTTGCAGAGCATCGCGGAAAGCAGGAAGGGACCGAGCACAATAATCACTCGTGATTGTTATATACTATCTCGCGGATTGGTATCGTTGTTGCCTAAGAGACCCCTCCCCCCCGCTTCCCCCAGAAGATCGCTAAGAAAACCTGTCCATCTTTTTCGACCGTGCTGATGGTAGATAGCTGGTACAAAGGGTTGTGTTTGTTACCACCTTTATCGTTGGTGCGGATCGCGTTTCGAAGGTTGTCTTTCCCGCGGCTGGTTGGAGAGAGCGACAACATGACCCGCACTGAAGTAGGGTAGGTTGGCCAACCTCGTACTTTTGTAGCATGCGCGCCACAGTCCGTGTGTAATTGAGGTTCGTCGTTTAGCGCATGGCCGTCGTTGCCCTGGAACACTTTTTGCTCGCGGTTGTGCAGATTCCGTACCAGCCCGACCCTAACCTGAGGGGCTACGTCGGAGGCTTTTCCCTGGGACACCACGTCTACCTCATTCCCCACTTTAACGGGGTATTTTTCGGCAAGGTAGGGCAAATACTCTTGGTGTGCGTTGATACCCTCGTGTAGATCGCTCTGTAATGCTGCACGCGAGACTCTCGGCGCTAAGCCGACAAACTTACAAAGAGCAATGTGGTGGTGTCATCGATAACACCGAGCCGTACCCGCAATTGTTTCGTTCGTGTTGACGTGGGTGTAAGAAAGCAAAAGAGGACGTGTTGAGCCCGTCGTGTGACACAATGTTAAAATGGAGGTACCACCAAATGCTAAGAACAACATCAATGTTTGTCTTGATTGTCCTCGATTGACTACTTTCGTCGCCCTTCCATCCACCCTCGGCACGGTGAAGGCCCTGGAAATAAGATCGTTTAAGACATGCTTAAACCTGGGCAACTTAGAACGATTAGATGTTTTTTCGGGGATTCCGGTGAAGCTTGTTCATCCGCGTACGCTTGCATTGTTGATGAGCACGTTCATCCGTTCGTCCGTTCGAACGAATCCCCGTTGCGATTTTCATCGTCAGGTTGCGCGAGTCGATATGCGGGAGATGCTGACCATGGCGGCTGGTGAACGAGCGGCGAACTACGACGGTTTGCAGGTCCGCGGAGCTCAATCCCTCTGTTCTTATGCTCGTGTCTCCAAACCCCAGTTATTTGGTTGTGTCGTCTCCACGTAAAACAAACTTCACTGTGCCCCCCCAATGTAAGTCCGTGTGCTCCCCCCCCCCCCTCCCCGGACAACTCTTATTGTTCAGGTCAAACTCACCAATTTAGGTGTCCGCGGGGATGACGCGAGTTTGGTGATGATTCGGGCATTTTTCGTTTCTCTGTGGTTGTGACAGCGCCGACAGCTTTAATCGTATGTCTACACTTGCATAGCAACGCACAACCACTTGTTGTACCACACAAAACGGTTGACCCTCGGTATTTGACCCAGTCTTCTTTTTCTCGCTGACAGCTGATACCTAAAAACAATCTCCGCAACCGGCAGCTTTCACTCCACGTCGTCATGACGTGTGCCTTCAATCCCATGACGGTACTCGCCGACGAGACCTCGAGAGAATAAAAACGTCATCAGAGAGTATTTTTCTCCCGCGGTTGAACACCTACATATATAATAGTGTTGTCTGACCTACTCGTGCTCTGTGATGCACGCACTAGTTCGCTAGATGATATCCTATTTCCGTCTCATGCTACCTGTCTGTCTGAATGATCGTGTGTTTCCCACAGGGCGAACGCTTCCGTTTCCTCTCGCCCCTCAACGCCAAGGTTGTGACCGAGTTTGTTTGGTGACTCGGTTTTGTCAAAAATGCCACGCCAACACCCCCCCGTCAAACATGACCGTCGTCTTCGTCCTCCCCCTGCTCCTGCTGCTGCTGCCTGTCGTGTGTGTGCACGTCCGAAGGTGCTAGATTTGGGGCTGGAGTCAACTACCGCGGTGGGCTTTTCAGGGGCCTTCCACTCATGGGAGACGCACTGCTACTAGCAGCCCCCCCATAGCGGCAGGATGACGTTGTTTCAAGTCGCATTAAACGTTGACGCCTTACTGCTCACTCATGTGTGGTAGGACACGCTCCCGCACACTCGTCTTCGAATTGAACAAATCACGGCAACCGTTTTTCGTTTCTCAGCAGCCCTCATTTCCCACGCCTTTTTCGACACTTTTTTTTGCTTGGCGGTGTTTGGACTAAAGGCCTTCGGTTTTGATGACCTCGTAATACATATAACACCGTGACCTGACATATGGATCTACTCAGGCGTCACATCACTAGTTCCACAACCTTGGCCATCAAAGCCAAGTCAACTCCGTCGATGCTCGTCTGCATGTCCGTCCAGCGTTTACCCCTTTGTCGCACGGTGCTAATGAGCTCAGTGCAGACAACAACCCTCACGGTTGGGCTCACATAGCACAGCGCAGACCTCTCAACGGGTTGGCAAAATCACCTACACCGCTCGTGCCTCTGGCGAACTACTGCTCGCTAGTTCTCTGGGTGAGGCAAGGCTATCCTCAACAACAGGGCAAAAGGACGAGACACGCGTCAGCAATAATGGTGGACCCAGCAGTTGCATGCCTCGGGGATGTTTACAGAACGCAGAATGTGCACGCTGGTGCGTTGGATATATCACCACATTCATAGTTAGGCCAGGGACAAAAAATCTCACACCAAAGGCTAGCTACACACACACAGTTACATTAACACTTGTTTGAGAGAGAGGAAACACGACTATTTGCATGCTTTTTTTTCTGCCGCAAACGTGAAGAATTTCACCCACCATTCTCCGTGCAAAGGCGCTCTTTCTACCATTTAGCCCGGCGTTGTGCTCTCTACAAACTCTCTTCTAGGGCACCGTGCTGCTTGTTTTCGTGCGCGGGGAGGGCATCACGCCCCCCGCGCACACTCTCTTCACCCGGGCCTCGGGGAAAGCGACGGCCAAGTCTTCGCCGAGCACCACGGAGACCAGGTCACTCGGCGCCGGCGTCTTCACCGCGTCCCCCGAGCTGGTCCGCCTCCGGAGGAAGATCTCGAGGGCGCATAGCGCCAGGCGGTTCACCTGTGGCCAGGGGCGAGGGGCACCGAATTTCTGTTGCTGGTGCATCCGTCCGTGTTTGCGTGTGTCGTTCGATTGGCGTTGACCCGCTATCGGACTGTGAGGGGCCGTCGGGAAAGTGTTGCAAAATTCCGGGGGTGAGAGAAAGCCACGCCAGCTGGGGACAAAACGAATGCACCTCAAACCATAACAGTCAGGTAAGTCAATCAGTGCGCTGGCAGAAACAAGGAACAGAAGATGCGCCGCCGCACCCAACACCAATTTTTTCGTTCGCATCGAAACAGCCCACTCTTACGACATTCAACCGGTCCTGTAGCCGTCCTCCTGTGGCAACGCATAGCTTTCATCACGCGCCCCTGCATCCACTGCTGCCAGCAGCACGGGCCTCACCTGGTCAATGAACATGACACAATCTATGTCCCCGGCGCCCTGTAGCTTCCGTAACGGTCCGGGGGCGAACAGGGGAGAGTCCGAGAAGTTGGTGTGGCCTGCAAAAACCATCGAAACATGCGGGTACGGAAGAAACGAATCCTTGAAGAGGAGGGTGACAGCAGCAGCAAGTAGGGGCTGGTTTTCGAGCTTAACCGACTGATCCTGCACGATGAATCACATATTTGCTAGAAACAAACGGGTTTTCGTTTGGGGATTGCCTAGCGCAAACATGTCTGGAAAAGACACCTAGGGCTGGTACTGTCGCACGCGACAATAGACGGGCACCGGGCCGCTCTTTGAACTACTCCGATCATCGCTTAACAATCGTTGTCGTATACCTCCATCATCCGGCAGGCACACATCACGAACAATACGAGAACACGCACACAACTCCGCACAAGGCATGTGCTTGCCAAACACACACAAATCACATTTCACAAAGTACAACAGAAAAAAAAAGCACATACACACAGAGACAAACAAACAACACACATATAAAAACCATACAAGACGAAAACAAACTCCCCCTCGAGCCTCACCGGCGTCTTTGACTCGGAGCTGTATGGTGAGGTCGTTAGCGCCATCGCGAACCATGCGGACGGCGTTGTCGACGAGGCGTTCCTCGTTCTTCTTACCCTCGGCCCCAAGAAAGCCGTCATTGGTGATGACAACCAACTGCGTAGAGCGGGCAGGAAAGGAGCGCCACAAAGAACACACGTTGAATAGTTGATAACAGCACGCGGACACAACCACAGCAAGTAGTAGCAGTGTCCAGTTGTGTTTCCCCACATGCCCGAGCCTTCGACATATGAATGGTGCGCTCGCGTTCTTTCTGGAACGTCGGCATTTCTTTAGGGAACTGCAGAAGTGCTGTCGGGTTTACCATGGACAATCGGAAGGCGCCATTGACCACACACACTGTTGTGGGCTGACTCGATACGATGTGGCGTCCATGGGGAGAAAAAAAAGGGAGAATTCCTATCTATTCCGAACGAACCCTTCTAACTCTTCCGAATGGGAGCGAACGAACGAGGAACGCTAGCAACCGGCGCACCTTCATTTATGCATAGGATCTTAACGAGTCGAACGAAAGCAGTCTAGCGTTGTAACTGCCAATAAAGACGCAGCCACCACCACGCTTGGAGTACACCACACTACGGACACACGGAAACGCCTCCACAACAGGCGTCGCGTGAGCCTTCCTTCCCACGCCTCCTCCGCCACCATCACAACCCCGCACCGGAATGTCGACGCTCTGGGCGCGCGCTTCTTCGCTGCAGGGGAACGTCCAAGCGTCCATGATGAAGGCCATCGAGTACCCGGTCTCCTCGGGGTCCATCTCCGCGCCACCTCTCGAGACACGCTCACGCTCGTCGCTCAGCACCTGTAAAACCGTGCCCCCTCCAAACGAGTGCCCTACGAAGGCCGGACGCTGACGAGAAAAGTTAAGTTGTGGACACGCAGATGACAGCCGGGGGGGGGGGGGG